TAAATGTAGACTGCCCTCTAGCAGTGATGGAGTTTATGATTCTATTGTTTTTTTCTATTTTACTTCAAAATATTTTTTTCCAGGTTTATTTGATTAATTTATTTAAGAATCATATTTAAAATGGCAGTCACATTATCAAACTCTGTTCTTGAGCAGTATCTGACATAATGTAAAGTACCTTATTTTTGCTTGAAATTTATTTTCACAGAAGGGATGAATGAAGTGAAAATACCTTTTTACCTATATTTTTTCATTCAACTCAAAACAAATAAGTGAAAATAAACATACGAAACAGCCAAAATGTCTTTCCAGTGGAAATTAATTCCAGCTAAAATACAGTATTTTACAGTATCTGGAATAGTTGCATTCAACCTGCACATTTTAATCTGTTCATTATTATAGTGAATTGTATATGTGCTACTAATGGTTTTAGCAATTCTTGTGATAGTGATTAGTGCTGGGAATTTTTGAAAACACTGCAATGTAAATCAAATTAATTTAATAAATCATTTCATCATTGATACGTGCTGCATTCCGTCCACTATTTGTGTATTTTAAATTAAATCACCATGCAGTGATGTGTTCGACTAGAATCCCATGCAACGTACATGACACGTTTAATCTAATATTGTTTACATAAAAATGTAAATGTACGCTTTGCGACGACTTTCGTTCTAAATTTGATCAACTGACTACAGTGATGCAACAAAAACAGTGACGGACTCGTTGTACGAGTAGAATTTGTATCATTTAGCCACGCTATGGGTAGAAACGCTATGGCCATCTGACACATGCGCCGGTGACACTCCCCGCTTTAAAGTGCATTTTAAATTGTTATATTGAATTTGGTACCTGAGTAAACTTGTGGGTACTCAACTCCCAGGCACTGTGATAATAGCCATGATAATATACAAGTTTTGAGTTCTGCCGTTACCTTAGAAACTTGCGCACTATGGTGTAAAAACGTTTCTGCAAATCAATTTCGTCTGCGTAGGGGGTTGATTTCACCACGTAAACGTTTGATAGCTCATTAGAATGCAGGGAACCTGGAAAACCAGTGAACAAATCGACCCCCCCCCCCAATTTTGCATGGAAACCGACTGACTCAAAACTTGTCTATTGTGCATGACCTAAAGTAAGCCATGCAGTGATTTTGTAGTACATTAAGGGCCTCTATTGCTATGCAATGAAACATTTCAAAATGTGTCAGTCACCAAACATCTGCTGGGATTGTCGAAAAAACACAGATGATAACTTATCGCTGGTATATTGCAGAGTCTCCAAACCTGCAGTATACATGTAATGAACATGCTTTTCAATTCTGTTTAATAAGAGTTTTGCTAATTGGTTAGCCTCACCGTTTAAGTTACGTAAAAGTGGATATAGCTGCAACTATCGATCTTTTTTTTAGTTTTTCCTGTGTCATTAGTATCAATGAAATGTGGACACTGAAAATGTAATCAGATATGCCATGTATATCAACATTGTAATAAATTCTTGCATGTGACAAAAAAAAAATTGCCACAAAGTTGCATCCAGGTCACCAGAGGGCAAGCAACGGTTAGAATTCAATTTCGTCAAACCAACCTCCAGGATTACAAATGACGGCTTACACATTGCATTTTGTGCGAGAATTAACCTTGTGTATGGCAACTTGGCCCATGCAATTGTATCAAACGTTCCGGTAAGATTTGTACATCTTTATGTGGTTAAGTTTAAATGAACAAATTTTCAGAATCACAGCTATTGTCACTTTAAGTATCGGTATGTTTCATACCCTGTAATTTGGATCCACTCTAGAAAGCACACTACGCTGTGGGTCAATAGTTGCCATGCATTGGAATTGCTTTTTCACAGAAACCACGTCAGGAAAAAATGTCTACAGTTCATAATACATACCAGGGATATCTACGAATTAGTGCCCGTTTGGGGGGAAGAAGTCTGAAAACTGGGATTATTAATTCAGGTTCTGTCCATTTGGGGTCATTTCTCATACACATATTTTTTTTTCAAAATTGATACAAAGACGTCATACATGTTTGTATCCCATTTGTTGAAATATGGCCAAATGGTAGCCATTTTTTAAATAGATCTGATCCCAGAAGCTGATTATGATGATTTTTTTTAACATTAAAATGACTGACATTCAATCATCTTGTATCTGATCGTCAAACGAGTACTTGTCCATATTGAGAGATATTGCTCTGGTTAAAACAAAATGGTCACCAGTCGGCCATTTTGAATCAAATCAGCAAACCAATACATCAGTTTATCGATACGACATGAAAATTTTAACATAATCAAAGCATGTAAAAAATATGGCTCGAGAACCACATTCATTGATCATGGCCAGTTAGCCATTTTGAAACCCATCCGAAAAACAATACGAAGTGCATCAAGGTCCCATAATTTCCAGTGTGTGTACCAAGTTTGAACAAAATTTGGCCATCTTGAATCAGATCGTGAAACAAACTGATGTGCACATGTACATGTATAATATTGTGCACGATGTATGTGTGAAGTTTGAATGTAATCGGTCCAGACATGACTAAGATATGGTTTGGAATGCATGTATGCACAGAAGTCAATCCACAAGTCCCTTTTTTCGAACAGGGACTAACAAATGGCCACCAGTCTGCCTTTCTTGAATCCGACAACAAAGTTAGGGGAATCAAGGTCCCATAAATGTACCAAATTTGAACAAAAGTACTAGTAGTTTTACTATCATGATCTATAATGGCAGAAATGCTAGATTTTAATGAATTGTTATCACTAAAATGGCCACTAGTAGGCCATCATGAGTTGAATCACAAAAATTGATGCATGTATTCCAAGGTGTATGCTGCATGTGTGTAGTTTTAATTGATTGGAGATGCAGGTGTGGACGTAAAGCGGTGACATTACAAGTTCCAGTTTTGAACATTGTCCGAACAAGAAATAAGCGAGTCAAATAGTACTTTGTTGAAAATTCACCAGTTTATTCCTTGCATCCTCCAAAAATATAGACATGTTAAAAAAAGTCCACCCACTCGCAAGATAACCAGAGCTTTTCAAAACAATTTAAAATTATTTTATAATGAATACTGTAATTTATTTTTTTTTTTACAATAGTTACACTTTACATATTTCGAATATATTATTTTGAAACAATTTATTAGTAATGACATTTTTTCCCCCAAAAATAAAAAGTAATTTTTTCTTTGCGGGAATTACTGTAAATCCTAATTGACAAACATCTATTGGAAATTGCATTAATAATTTACCTGTTAAGACACTGCTGTAGTTTCTGCCATAGAGGGCGCAATACAAATAAAAGAGTTGATGTATGATAATTTTGTAGACGTACACAATGACCAGAAACAAATTGTGCCAGGTCACACACATGATTATATAAACAATCTAATTCATCAATATCTCATCCAAAAGTTGTACAATAATATAATTAGTATGCCTTCGATGTCAATTCTTATAAAGTAATTCACACAATGCATGATATGAAATTCACACCACTAATTAAATATTTAAATGACTATAATATAATTACCATACACGATTAGTCATTAAAAAAAACAGGTTAACAATATTTTTTCCATGGTAACCGATGGCAATACAAGTCTACTTTAAAGTTGTTTATTTTGGGAACTCTGCACAATACACATGTTTTCATAGATCAACAATATTTTAAGAGCTTTTTTTTTTATACCAACCAATTCACATCTGACAACCATGAGAAAACAGGCCACCCCCATGAGACCAGCACCCTCTATGTCACACTATTTTTCTAGAAAAAAAAAGGCGCAATGAATACAAATTACCTGATTAAATAATTATTAAAGAAGGAAGACTTTTCTCAGTACTGAGTTTTGTTTATCCTTTTCATACTAAACCTTTTACGATAGAAAGCCAAAGTAGTCAAAGCAAAATTCATCATACGAACATTAAGCCAGAATTAAAACCAGTGTATAAAGTTAGTTAAGAACCAAGCATATGTTGGCTATATACACAAGATTAGTTAAATATCTACTTCAAGCTAGTCTTTATTCTGAACAAAAAATGAGTCTTTGACCGCAAATAACCAAACTCTTCGCAAAAAACTGCAGCTGCCTTACATTGAGGAAATAAAGAGCTATTGCACGGTAAGTTTAAGACACCCCAAAAGACTTTCTTAGTAGAATGGGGAGGGGGTAAAATTCATGAAGCAAAGATTCTAGCAGGATGTCTTCCCATAATTTCTTAAAATAGAATGAAAGGGAAAAATGAAGCATTTTACAGTATTGTTTGGACTGACTGTACACATGGATTTTAAAAAACACCCATCTGCGTTCAAGCAAAGTCAATGTCATCCATTCAACAACAAAAAATCAATCTTTAAAACACTTAATTCTGATAGAAGAATTTTCATAAAAATGTGCATATCTTAAAAACATCTTTGCATAATTTATCACAAATTACCTTATGTACACCTTCATATCCACATGTATACAAGATTAAAACAAACTTTTGCCGAAACCAGCAGTTTTGAAAATTATATACCATCTACAAAATCACTTTTAAAATAGTTCTATTTTAGCTGCTACAACAACCACTTTTGCAGGCACTCTGTGAATTGTATTAAAATCCCACCCAAATGCAATGTACTTTTATACTTCAGCCTTCCACCCCTTTATCAAATGGTTTGCCCCACCTTGTATAAAAGAATAAAAAAACAAATTGGATTGCACCAATAATTGGTTGTACTGCAAGGGGGAGAAGGTTCACATATCACACGTGTGCGGATTAAAACGTTTTATTGACATCATCCTTCGTACACATCTTCTAGCTACGCAGCAATCTTCTCTTTGCTTTCTTCGGATACCGACTCTTCAAGGTACGGAGAGCTGTACGACTCCATGGGTGGGCAGCTGCAGATTAGATTTTGATCTCCATAGACGTCGTCAATGCGACCACACGTCGGCCAGACTTTGTTGATTGATGTTACAAATGGCTGAAAACAAAAAATGGATAATATCTTAATATCGATGAAAATTGAAAAAAAAAATTATGATTAACATATTTCCTTGATTATTAGCACACGTGCACACAAAAGCGACAGGATTAAGTTGTATTTTGATGATCTAGTATACAATACATATAATTTACTGTATAATATACAGGCCAATATATAGTTATTGGCCTGGCCCGAGGTCAATATTTAGAATTATTGTCCCTGAGAAACTGTTATTAAAAGCCACTTGGGGGACAATAATACTTGGTATTGGCCAAAGCCAGGACAATAACTGATTTATTATTTCGAAAGGGAACAATATAATAAACCATTGGAGGAATTCATTTAAAAGTATCATCCATTTTTTTTATCATTATAAACAATCTAAGTGTCTGGATGTTATGACATCAGAGGGCAATAATTAATACACAAAATTATGTTAGAGGCAAGAAATATGCTGGGAGAGGCCAACATCAATATTTACCAAAAGATCATGTGATGACTTTTGACCAATAACATTGACTGTCTCATACTTGAGAGACGATACAGCATATGGGCTTTGAAAAAAACTTAAAAATCCAGGAGGGAAAAAAAACTTTGAAGTAGCAACTCGTGGTCAATGTTTGAAACACTTTTCAAAAAGTGTTTCTCCAAAATGTTTACAAACCTTAAAATTATTTTTTTTTTAGAAAAGATTTTTTAAATGATGAAACACACATTGAAAGAAAGTAATGCCATAGAGGGAGTTTACTACACTTCTATGGTAGTCATCAAAAATACTGTAAACCATTTAATTTAACTACTGTAAAATACTTTATTATTAATTGTCGCTACATGTATTTTCGCTGAAGGAATGATTCAGTGAAAATAAAATCTAGCAAATATACTTTTTTTCCTATATTTTACATTCAACTTGTCAAAAACCAGTGAAAATAAATTCCATACAAAACACCCAAAAAGTCTTTTCAGGGAAAATTAATTCCAGTTAAAATAAATTATTTTACAGTAGTTGGTGAAAATCACAAAATTCTGTGTAGCAGTGAAAATTCTTGACATATTTAGTCTTCACACCATACAAAATCCTGTAATTGTGATAATTTTAGAAAATATTTAACAATTTATGCAGAGATTGTTTTTGTTTCAGCATCAGTTTGGTACGATCAGGTGATCGCTTTTGACCAATAAAATTGTCTGTCTCATACTTGAGGGATAATACAGCAATTTAAAAATTTGAAATGCTAAGCGCACAGTAAAATGGCAACTTGTCTATTGTGTTAGATACAAGCTTAAATACTCACTGCAGGAAAGGCGGCTTGTTCTCTGCTGTACGGTCTATCCCAGGTAGAACTCATCACCACATTCATGGTATGAGGAGCATGTTTCAGAGGGCTTTGTCTTACATCTATTCTACCTTCCTCAATATCACGTATTTCAAGTCGGATTTCTGGAACAAAAAAATACAAAAGGAGTCATTTTTTCCCTACCAAAATATTGGTGTAACATGGTCATTTTGAACTAAATTGTCAAATTTCCCAATGGCTACAGAGGTTTTGATGAAAATGTTTGAAAGTATACAAATTTATTGTGAAAAATGAAAAAGGCGTTCACTGTAAATTTTAACAAGTGGTTGAGAAAGGTAACACGACAACCAAAACATTGTATTAGAAGAAAAAAATGCCATGTTACAACAGTTACAGTTTGTGGATGGAAACTGTTCTGGTTTAATATTCAAATGAGATGTAAATTACACGTGCAAAAGAAGATAGTCACATCTTGTGATTGGTGCATAGCGTTCTTGAACTTTACTTGAATTGGATGAACAGTACTCATGGTAAACTAGAACTAGTGTGTATGGAAGGAAGATGGACAGACATGATGGGTGGACAGCTGGACTGAAGGACAGCCAGACAAACTGTCAGAAAGACAGATATTTTGGCTTGAGCATTGTACAACAGGCCCCGGCATATTGTGAAACACCTTGAAATAGTGACATGCCATTTTAACAAACTAGGCTCAATTTATGAAAAGGTAGAATCTTAATTTAGCTGAAGTGCTAACAATCTCATTGTGGGAATTTACTTTCTTATAGATTAACAAAATTACAGATTTGCTAAAATAACAAGTTTTACATTATTTATGCAGATCATTGTTGGCTGTGGACGTAAAAAGGCCTTGCTTCAGCAAAAAATTAAACAAAAAAAACACAGAAAGATGACACTGTCAAAAATAGAAAAGTGAGGTGAAGACTTTAAAACTAAGTTACTCACGTATAAGAGCATCACAAAATCTGTCAAGCTCCTCTTTGTCTTCACTCTCTGTTGGTTCAATCATCAGTGTGCCAGGTACAGGCCACGACATGGTTGGTGCGTGAAAGCCTAAAAAACAAAATAATAGTATTTGTAAATTATCAAATCTGAACATGAAAATTGTCTTTATCTCCTTTTACAGTGTCCATGATACAAGGGTTGGAGGGGGGGGGGGGTCCACACTAGTTCTCATGGAAACAAGGATTTTAATTGTCTGCTATACTGGCATGCTCGAAAAAATATAGACAGATTTGTCGGCAAAACTCACCAAAATCTTGTAACCTTTTGGCGACATCAGCAACTTCAACACCATACTTTTTAAATTCGCGACAATCAAGAATAAATTCATGGGCACAGAAACCTACAACGAGGACATTACGTACAAATGAAATAACTGTCACACACAATGAAATCATGTTGTGCATTTCAATAACAGAATGTGCTTTTGTACATAACTTGTATTTATTGCACATCTAAGAGCAAATTGTATATAAAATAAAATAAACACCACCATGTTGTAAACAATCAGGTGTGAAAAATACATTAAATTGTTCTGGAAAAATGAACAAGTATAGATAGCTCCGCTGTTAGCACATTTCAATTAAGGAACTGAAGATATCATTAGAAAATGAACAAAATGTATAGAATCAAAGCAATCAGACTTGTGGTTCTTAACAAGAAGTCGAAAATATCACTTTTTACCAAAAATGACAAAAATATTCATCAAAATTAGAGAATTAAAGATATCATTACAAAATGAACAAATCTTGAGAGGTCCACATGTAGTACCTATATATGTAATAACAATGTAATCAGACTTGCGTTTTTTTTTTGCGTTCAATGACCATACTTTTTTTTTTTTTAATCTGGGTTTTGTGAACAAAATAAAGTAAAACAACATTCCAAAAAGTCAATTATTATTCATCATTAGCATGACTCGAGTGAAATGCATTCTGGGACAACTTACCATACTTTCCTCTGAATACAGTTTTATAATAGTCTGAGAGTCTGGTGCTCATGTAATTTGCATTAAGAATAGCAGCCGTAGTTGCGTGCCTCAATCCAACAGCCCCCATCATCTAAAAAGACAAAAATGTATAGAATTTGATATTACTTACAAATTATTTTGCTTGTAGAGGTCATAGGTCATAACGGAACGGAAATAATAGAATCGCATACAAAATTAGATTTTCAGTTTTTACTCAAAAAAATGTGGCCATTTTTGTCACAATCTTGTGAGAGAAAGTGCAGACTATAAGTGGAACTATTTTGTTAATTTGTGATGAAAGGAGGTAACTGGTTGTGAAAAGGTCAATGTACAGTGGAAATAACAGACAATAACAGTTAGATGACTTTATCAACAATTCACGGCATTCTCAGTTTCAGTTCATCAGTAAGTTGTCAGTTTTAGAGAGAGTATACTGTAAAAAAACTATTTTCGCTGAAGGAATGATTCAGTGAAAATATAATCCAGCAAATATACCTTTTTTCCTATATTTTACATTCAACTCATCGAAAATTAGTGAAAATGAATTCCATACAAAACACCCAAAAAGTATTTTTAGCGAAAATTAATTCCAGCTCAAATATTATTATACAGTATTGAAGGAAATATCCCTTAATTGGCATTAGTGCATTTCGAGTCGTACAATAAAATATTTTATGAGATAGACCATACCTTGATATATGCCCATGAAATTGGCAAGATTGCACTGGAACCCCATGGTGCCGCACTGACAACGCCGAATGGAGTGGCTCCTGGACCGGATGTTCCACTCGGGGACACTACAGGATGACCTGGTAGGAAAGGCGCAAGATGTTTTTTTCTGCAAAAAGATGAAAACAGTGGTAAAGCTTAAATTCTATGCATGATTGACAAAATTATTACAACCCCAGCATGTGTGGAAAAAACTCGCAATTATATTTTTTATTTTAATTAAACTGACAAAAAATAAATGAGTTTTGAAGTTTAACTCGTTGGTTTTTATTAAGAAAGTGCCTTCAACAGAGCAAAGACTACACGTATCAGTTTAAAATCTTATTTTCTCATTATAGACTTTTTAAGGTCCTCTTCATGAAAATAAGAAAGTTTTAAGTTTTAGGAACAAATCAACATATATTGAATTACTAAAATTTCTGGTTTGTCAGACCTTTTGAAGACACTGCCAAAAATTGAAAAGCCAGAACAAGACTTTTTAAACTGTTAAGACCTCTGAGGGAATTCTGATAAAGGTATTGCAACTACATGTACCAGACAAATTATAATTTGAGAATTAATTTTACCATCTTTATAAATCACTTTGAGTGAAATTTACACGGATGAAATACTTACACTCCTATGGGTCCCATTCCTGGTCCACCACCACCGTGAGGAATACAGAATGTTTTATGTAAATTAAGATGCAAGACATCAGAACCGTAATCACCCGGTCGACAGAGACCCACTTGTGCATTCATATTCGCACCATCGAGATAGACTTGACCACCAGCATCGTGAATCATCTCGCACATCTCCCGGACACCCTCTTCGAACACGCCGCTGGTGGATGGATACGTCAGCATAACGCACGCAAGATCATTCCTGTGCTTCTCTACCTGTAAGAATACAAAATCAAAAACAGACTGTAGAGGGCAGTATACATCTTACATTTTTTTCACAGTTTTCACACTTCAGCATATGCTGCCCTCGGTGCTGATATATACTGTAGAATGAATTATTTTCAAGATAAAGTTTTTTTCAGCAACAGACGATTATTATTACATTTCCACTTAGCAAACAGGCCAGACAACAAAATGCATTAAAATGACATAGTTTTAGCTAAAAAATAATATGATACATTAAAAGTATTTTATTTCAAAAGTACTGAAAGATCTTATCGTGTAGACAAACATACCAATAGTGAAATCAACTTTCGAAGACAAGCAAAGCCTTTTAACTCAGGTGTCTATTTTTAACAAATCTAGCTTAATTTAAAAGGCTCACTTAAATTCATAATCTGCAGTTAAATTTTCCCCAATACCCGTTTAAAATGTCAGAATTAGATTCTGTATAATGTTCACAGATTTGCAAAGTGGGTATATGTAACTTTAATTTGGTGAGAAACAAAAACAAGCAGCCTGTCGGCTGAGATAGCTCCGCTGTTAGCAATGCACATGGCAATTAAAGAACAGAAGATATCATTAGAAAATGAACAAATCTGAGAGAGGTCCACATGTAGTACCTATATGTATAATATATCAAAGCAATTGGACTTGCGGTTTTCAACAAGAAGTCGAAAATATCACTTTTTACCAAAAATTACAAAAATATTCATCAAAATTAGAGAATTAAAGATATCATTACAAAATGAACAAATCTGAGAGAGGTCCACATGTAGTACCTATATATGTAATATCAAAGCAATTGGACTTGCGGTTTTCAACAAGAGGTCGAAAATATCACTTTTTACCAAAAATGACAAAAATATTCACCAAAATTAGAGAATTGAAGATATCATCATGAAATGAACAAATCTGAGAGAGGTCTACCCAAAGTACATATACACCAAGTATCAAAGCATTCAGGCTTGTAGTTTTCAAGAAGAAGTCGAAAAAGTAAAACATTGACACGGACGACGGAGACGGACGACGACGGACAATCACTCATATGATAAGCTCCGCTCGACAAAGTCGACAGCGGAGCTAAAAAAACATGAAAATCCCTGGAATTATTGTGAGAACATTTTTAGGAGTGAAAATTTAGCAGACCAATAAAATTCAGTATTGTTACAAGGAAGTTTTAAATTTACTGAAATTATTACAAAAAAAACTTACCAACTTGGCAAAATGTCTGACATCAATATTGCCTTGCTTGTCAGAATCCACTGGGCAGATTTTCATACCACTCATCTGTGCACTGGCGGGGTTGGTTCCATGAGCAGTTCTAGGAATTAGACACACCTGTAAAAAAAGAAAGTTACAAGAATTAAACATCCTCCCTCTCATTATGAACTATATGATAAAATTGAAAATAAAAGTTTCCATCATAATACTGTGCAGTATTCGTTCTATTAGTAGTGCAGGAATTGATGTAAATGATACAGGTTTAATGGTGCATGACGCAATAAATTAGTGTGCGATTCGATTATAGATGTGCTCCTAATGAAGCAAATGCAATAATCATAATTCAAATGCAGTATATCATAATTCAAATGCGGTTAATCCTCTTTCAAATGCGGTAAATCCTCTTTCAAATGCGGTTAATCCTCTTTCAAATGCGGTTAATCCTCTTTC